TTTCGAGGTCGTTTTTACGAAGAAGAAACTCGACTATTTTACTGCCCTTGCTCAGAAAGGGGGAGATTATTCTTGAGGGGGAGTTGACAACGAAGCATCAACAACCCAGGAGGAACCGCATACAGGGGGAGCTGATGCAGCCGCTGGAACTACTACTGATCCAACTGTCGTTGCTCCAACTGTTCCAACTGTTGATGGTACAACAGCTGAAGTTGATACGAATGATGACGAGGAGTTGTTCGTTGATGATGAAGATATTCTGGATTAGTTGTTTTTTAGTTTTTTTGTGGTTGTCGAATTCATTTTTCTGAACAACGGCCTCTAAAAGTCTGCTAGGCTTAACTCTGTTCTTCTTTTGACTGATGTTTTGTTTTGAACTGTTCTAACGGTTACTCTATTATGCAGTCTAATGTTTTTGTCAGGTATTTGATCAAGGGGGAGGACTTGATTATAATAAATAGATGACAAAGGGGGAGATTGTTAGAATCCGAGAGGATTCTAATTTCGGGTTTTCAACACGTGTGTGAAAACCGTGTATAAAAACTAGGGAAGTTTCCTTAGTTCTTTAAACTCTTATTTTGTCATTAATTTATTTAATTGCCTAAGTGTTTTGTTTAACAAGGAATTTTATTTGGAAAAGAATTTCCTTTGTTATACAACTCTTTGTTTCTTACGTGAGATAAAATAACCTAATGGGCTCCACTTTTGTGTAGGGCTCTACTAATTCACCTAAGGAAGTATAAGAAGGGCAGCATCAACGTAATTGAAGACCGTCCCTTTTATTTGAGAGAAAATTTATTTTCTGCTCTTCACGTTGCTGCTCTTGTGTAAAACAGAGTAACAGATTTGCTTCTTTCACGCGAAAAGAAGATCGGTTCTTCGGGAGAAGAACTCAGAAGATCTCGGGAGGAGGTCGACCCGCCGACTGAGGGACTCAGCGTTGAAGGAATTTCAACCGTGCGGATCAAGGGACGTGCTGCAAAGTGAAGATTGTTAATTCAGCGTAGTATACAAGAACGGCGTCGACAAAGAGGGAGTCTTTGCATTTCGATTAAGTCCTATTATTGTATTCGTAAAACTAAAAATTAGTAAATTTCATTTGCAGGTCCCCGTGGATGTAGGGTACAATTGTATCCGAACCACTTTAAAATTTGTGTCTTTTTATTACTGTTCCATTAACTGTTGCAACTCTTCGTAAAACAGTAGAACCGTATTTAAAACTGAATCTGGAATTCATCGGACACAAATATATAATTAATTTGCACGAAATAATTCTAACATGTATATTATGATGTAAAACGGCGTCATTTAAAGTTTTCGGTTCGGTTCAAGAGGTGCTTTTATGCTTGAAAAGAGCTTGTCGGTTTGGCTTGTAATGGTTCGGTTTGTCGGTTTTTGGTTATGTATTTCGGTTCTTATCTCACCCTAAACCATACTATGGTAGTGTTTGCAAATGCTTCTAAAAAAGTAGAAGTGGTGATCGTGAGTAAAAGGCTGTTTGGTTAAACTTATAAACTGTTAAAATAAGTTTATAAGATGTTTAAGAGCTTATAAGCTCTTTCGAAGTGTGTGGTATTTTTTTTTAAAACATCTTAAAATTCAAAAAAAAAAGTTGCTCGAGAGCAAATAAGATATTTTTTTAAAATTATTACCTCTATCCCATCTTTTTAAAATCTTATAATTATTAAAAATAGCTTATAAGCTCATTATCCAAACATTTTAAAAATTAATCAGACGTAAGAGTTTATCATCTTTTTAAAATAAATTTAGTCAAATGGTCCCTAAAACTTGAAATAAATGCAATTAATTTATGGGGTAATGGCAAATAGGCCCATGATAAGGGCACTTAATTAAAAGAGGGACATCCAACTTTTTTGTCTTTCAAATAAATCCACCCCATTCAAACTTATTTGCAAATAAGAAAAATCCTTTTATATATACCAAAATTACCCCTAATTCATTGAAACCCAATTCAACTCCAATTTCATGATTTACACCCCAATTTAGCACAATTTCATCAATTAACCAATTTTAACCCTAATTTCAATTTTGACCCCAATTTTAACCCTAATTCTTATCAATTCCACCAATTATGCTCTAACTTCCTTAATATTACACATTGACCCCGGATTTAAACAAATATATCACATTAACCCCCCAATTTTTTTTTCAGAAAATATTTTTTTTCTGAAATGTTTTTTTTTCCGGCCAGATTCCGGCGTTGACTTTTTTTTTTTTATTTATAATTTTGTTTTTTCTTAATTTTTTTTTTAATTAATATTACTGTCTTGGCTGCTAAATTACTGTCTCCGACAGTTATTTAACTGCCGGAGACAGTAATTTAGCTGTTAATTGATTTTTTTTTCTTCAAAAATATTTTAATTAATATTACTGTATTCGTTGCTAAATTACTGTCTCCAGCAGTTATTTAACTGTTGGAGACAGTGATTTAACTGTTAATTGACTTTTTTATTCTTAAAAAAAATATTTTTAATTAATATTACTGTATTCGTTTGCTAAATTACTGTCTCCAGCAGTTATTTAACTGTTGGAGACAGTAATTTAACTGTTAATTGGCTTTTTTTTTCGTTTTTTTTCTTAAAAAAAAAATAATTAATAGTACTGCCTTAGATGTTAAATTACTGTCTTCAACAGTAATTTAACTGTCTTAGACATTAATATTAATAATATTACTGTTCGGAAAAATAATATTCATAATATTACTGTCCCAAACAGTAATATTACTGTCTGAGACAGTAATTTAGTAGCTAAAACAGTAATATTAATTAAAATATTTTTTTCTTCTAAGAAAAAAAAATTCAAAAAAAAAAAAAAAAAAAAAGTCAACGCCGGAATCTGGACATTTCAGAAAAAAAAATTATTTTCTGAAAAAAAAAATTTTGGGGGTTAATGTGATATATTTGTTTAAATCCGGGGTCAATGTGTAATATTAAGGAAGTTAGATCATAATGGGTGGAATTGATAAGAATTATATTATTGAGGGTATTTTAGACTAAAGACATGGGGATGGGCTTAATTGAGAGACTGTTTTTTTTGTGGACCAAAATGCATTTAAGTCCCATGTGATGGGCCTTTTTGCCATTTGCCCTTAATCCTTTTTGCCATTTGCCCCTAATTTATAAATTGATGTATTTTCAAAATTGACATACCCCGACATTTAAAGTTGCCCATAATACCCTTTAACTCTCGCTCCTTCTCTTTCTATCCTTATTGATCTATTTCCCTTTTTCTCTTTCAAATTGCTCCCCACCTTCTCATTTTCCCTAGATATCATCCCTATTTCACGTTAATTGTTGGCGCGATGGCAGTCGGAGAAAGCCCGACGACTCCATGATGGAGGATGATCGCAATGGCGCGATGACGAGATGAAAGCATATCTAGGGTTTTGAGTTGAGTGGGTGCATACGATCGATCTAGGGTTATATCAGATTCTCCTTATTCCCTATTTATTGTTAATCCAAGTAATTAAATTGATTTCCTTCAAAACCAATATTAGATATACGAGCCCGTAAAATTCTCAATGCCAGTCATATTAGGTTGAAGTCGAGTAATTCGGAGAATAGTATTGAAATCTCCTCCAATGATCCAAGGAACACTTCAAGTGTGAAAATTATAATTTTGTTGTTATGACTAACACCATTAGTAATAAAATAGGTTGACCATCAAATTGAGGGATAAGTGTTACATACTAAGGGGCTGGGGTAAAGTGTATGTTATCCTTTAAATTATTGTGTTGGTTTTGTAGAGTTAATAAAATAATTTACATAGAGTACGATGTCAGTACACCCATGTACGATCTATTTTTACTAAGTTCGTACAGTAGTATATCATTATTTAGGATCGAACTAGGCTGTATTATAATACTTAGAATTAACGATTATAATTATTTAAAAAAATATTTTATACGCACCAGATTATTTCGTTTAGGCCCGAGCAGTACAACTCATCTCGAACATTACACAACCCCTTTAAAAGGACAATATATAGTCTTACTTGATAACTAAGATAAACTATTGTGCCGATTGCTTCTGTTCCTTTTCCTCGCACGTTTTATGCACACATGCAGTTAATAAAATGTACTTTAAAATTATATTATTTCTTTTCAGAAAAAAAAAACAAGTATATTATTTAATTATTATTTAAAAGATTTAAAGATCTTTTGCAAGAGTGCGACTCAACTTTTTCTCTTTATTTGATCTGACTTAGATTGCAAGATATTTTAGCACATAGAACCCACTAATGAAAAGGTTTACTTTAAATTAGAATAGACTGATAATTTGTGACATGTATTAAGTTGATGATTAATAATCTACACGTATCCTAAAGTTGATTTAAATTAATTTAAAATCAGGTTAGGCAGTAGAATTATTTATGGATGCGAATATTATTTTGAAAAATCCGTACCCGTTCCAGACTCGTTTCGTGAATAGATTTTAACACTCGTAAATGCCCGTTTGATAACGGGTGGGTATTACTCGCTAAATTCGGTGTGAATCATGATGTAGACATGGGTGAATTGTATTTTACACTTCGAAAGGGGTATGGATTGGCGTTTTGCACCCTTAAATTTTGGAATTGGTGAGATTCATCCTGAAATTGAATATCTCATGGCAAAATGCACCTGATTCTTTAACTAAACAATTAATCAATTGTTGAGATTTGAAAAATTAGAATAAGTCACATAAAATATGTAATATAAATACTAGTGTTAATAATGTAGATGGTCTTTGGATCATAAGTTAAAAAATTTATCATTGTATCAATTTTATATATTTTTTTAGTTCATATATAATTTTAATTTCGATAAAAAAAAAAAAAAAAAAAAAAAACAACAACTAACAAAAATAACTCATTATTTCTTCCTGTGTTTCATTTATCATATAATTGAATAATAATTTAAAAATATAAAGTACGAAGAACAAACCAGAGAAAGAACATATTTAAAGGATAAAATACGACTCAAAAACCCTTCAATGAAATGACTCAAAAGCCCTTCAAGTGGACTATCTTACGACAATTCAAATGAAAAATACACCGGAATTTGTGATTTGGGACAAAGTGCATCTTGAATAAAATTTTGAAGGGGGAAGTGCGAAAATTGAAAATTTCTAGGGAGCGAAATGCATTTTCTCATAACTTCTCGGACTGAGTAACAAATAAATCTTGGACTGAGTTGCACCAGAAATGTCAACTTCACAAAACAACAATTTTCACTCTTACATAGACAGGAAACAATTTATAACATTGCTGTATCAGTCAAAAGTGAAAAGCTGAAGAAAACTCATGTAATATGTGTATTTGGTACAAATTTCCCATCTTCATACAGAAAAAAAGACGAGAAATCCGTAAGGGGAGCATATGCACATGCTGCAAGAAATCAGGAGCTTCGATCATCCAATGGTTCCTTCGTCCTACAATTAAGTGTTACAGATGTAAGTTTCCATCCATGAACTCCAAATAAATGGAAGGGTAAATTACGGCCACCTCCCTAAGGTAAGGTAAAAATTTCAAAAAAGCCCCTCCTATTTGGGAAATTACAACCACGCCCTTCAACTATGAATCTTCTTACACGTCCACCCTTACGGTGTCAAATTTAGTAGAATCTTCTAGATTATGGAGAATATTCTCCAGTTTATACCCGTTTGACCCCATTCGAGCTCCACATTGTACGTATCACATTGTGGTGCATCAGAAACTACATTTTTTTTACAAAACAAGTACAAACAAGAGAACATTCCACATAATCTAGAAGATTATATTGAATTTGACACCATAAGGATGGACGTGTGAGAAGATTCATAGTTAAGGGGTGGTTGTAATTACCCAAACAGGAGGGGTTTTTTCGTAATTTGACCTTATTTAAGAGGGGGCGTATTTTACCATAATAACCAAGAAAAAGGAAACCAGCAAGATTATGTTCGGATAAACAAACGTACAGAACTCACTAAAACAGAAACAGAGATGAATGTGCTATCATGTTATTCGACCTTTTTGCTCGTTATTTTTTCAACGATTCATACATCTCTTGAATTAGAATTTGAGGTGGGGAGTGATATATACTAAATTGCCATAAAACACCGACAAATATGACGACATGCTTAGTTGCAGAAATCGAATCTATAATAAGGTTCATAAATCATACATAGTTATGTGGCATATTGGTAATATGAAGTAACAATGAAGGCTATGATCTTAAATCAGTCCAATTCGAGAAACGGTGAAACAGGACATCTATAATTTTGCCAGAAATGCAGAAATGATACTATGTGAATCAAATACGTCAAACAACCACATTTCAAGATTCCTCATAAGAAAAGAAATATACGACACATTCTGGAATTGAAAAAAACTCGATTATATATTTTAACTATTCGCGCTTTGCATTAACTAAGGAGAAAAACTTATTTGGAACTATATTGTGGAGGTATTTAAAACGGAAGACAACGAGGCATGTTTCTTCATTCACACCACGATCTACAATTAAACAAGCGGATCGAGTTTTTTGTTTTATTTTTTCCCTACGAAAAAAAGCAAGAATTTAGTTTCTATGACATACATACATTATAATTCTACTTGTTCCTAAACATTCGTCCCCCCGAAGATTTTCTACTGTGAATTGGCGATATAATTCCAGATTCTTGAAGGTAGAAATATAAAATTAAAAATTAACAAATTCCGAAATTAAAGTCAAAATAAGAAATGCCCAAATACCAAAACCTAAATTAAAAAAAAAAAAAAAAAAAAAAAAAAAAAAAAAACCATACCTGTGATGAATTGGGTTTACTGGAAATGACAGATTCCAGATTCGATACACGGGTATCTAAACAATTAAACTGTTCCTTCAACTGCAAATACATCAACCAATCAAAAAAAATTCAGAAATATATATATATATATATATATATATATTAAGTATATATATATGTTGATAACCCCCAATTCTGGCCCCCCTATTTTCTACGCTTTATTTTTGACCCCTTTTAATCTGAAACGGCGCCGTTTCGTTTCAATCCACCATTCACCGTGCAGCTTTCTTTTCTTTTTCCTTTTCTTTCACAAAATGCACGATCGACCTACTTCTTTTCCTTTTTTTTTTTTTTTTTTTTTTTCCCCTTTTCCCTTCTCTCCCTTCTGCCGCCGCAAATGCTGACTGCCCCACCGCTCTTCTTCTCCACTCAGGGGTCTTCCTTTTTCTTCCTTGCCACACAGCCATGGCAGCGGGAATAGTTGCCGCCCCCCCCACCTCCACCGCCTCTGCCGCCAGCGTCTCTTCCCACCGCACCTTTCCTCTTCTTCCTACAATTTTTCGCTACGCGATTCATCCAATTGTTCCGATTTGGGGAGATGGTATTCAAGCTCAGGATCGGAGAGTAAAGAAGGCGGCACAACCATGCCGGCGGCGGGGTACCACGTCGGCGTCGGACCATCGTACATGTGGGGAGCTGTGTTTTGGGAAAAGAATAAACCACTCACTTTTGAAGATTTTCAGATGCCCCGCCCTAAGGCCAACGAAGTTCTGATCAAAACCAAGGGTAATTAATTTGGGTTGTTTTTTTTTTCCTCAATTTAGTTGTTGTACATTATGCTGCAAAGCTTGTTCTTTTTTTTTTTTTTTTTTTCCTTTTTTATTTTGGGAATATACTAATTGGAGATGAGAGAGAGGGAAGTAATTGGAGAAGAGAAGTCATTTTTGATTTTTCATTCAATATTTTTGATTTTTGATACGTTTTGTTGTAATTGTAAAGTACAAAAAAAAAGCCACAATACCTTTTTAGGTTTTAATTAATCTGTAGCAAACCAATTATGGATCATGTTATTGGAGGCAAGTTGAAGCTGGGGAGGAAGATTGGTAGCGAATCTTTTGGAGAGCTTTATTTGGGTAATCTCATCGGCAATATTTTATCTCATTTTTTCTTTATAGGCAAAATCTATATAAATATTTATATATGTGCTATTTTAAATTTCGTTGAGGAGTAAATATACAAACTGGAGAAGAAGTTGCTGTGAAGCTGGTGAGTAGACTTTTCCGTCTTCGAATTGGATAAATGGTTTAGGTGTTCAATTCTTGAATGAGACTTATGTCCGGAATTTGCGAATCCGATCATCAACCCCGCCGTCGAAGAATCCATCGGTTCGTCTCTTCACTTTTGCTTCCTCTGTTGCATTTCTAATCATAGTAGTTTAGATTTTGGTTCTTAATTTGTCGTGTATTTGTATGATTTTTTTTTGTCAGAGGGTTTTATGATTTGGTGGATCAATTCGTTGAAGTAAGCGGAACTCAAAAATCTCAGATTAGTAGTGTGGAAATGGTTAAATGTTTGATAAATTAGGGGAAATCTAATCTGAGTTGCGAGATCATAAATAATTGATAGGGAAATAACAGGAGTGCCACTGATTGAATATATATATTTTTTTTGTTAAATTGAATTATTACTTTTATATTATTTTATTTTGTAATTAATAGAGGTAAAGAGTAGGGTTTATGGCTGATGAGTGATGACTGGTGCCTTTTTTTTTCCTGGTATTTCGTATATACGAATATGTCTGGTGATATCAGCTGCTTCGGCTAAATATATTGATATTGCAGTGGAAGCTGCTCGCAAAGCATTCTTCAGAAATGGTGGCAAAGATTGATCATCCGCAACTGGGACCCACCGAGCCAAGTATGTACGAGCCATCGCTGCTAAGGTTTTCCTTCCTCACTCTAATTAAATTTTGTTGCAAAATATTTCAGTTTCTTTGTGGACTATTTTCTCGTATGGTTTGGGGGTGCGATAGAAACTATGTTGGTAATTTTTTGTAAAAGTATAAAATCTTGAGTCTTCCTTCGTGAATTCGAGAACTGAATTGTGTAAAGGTTTATTTCAATTTTATTGGTACTGTTTCGACTTTATTTTGGATCATGCGACATGACTGATTACTGCAAGATAGTTGAGTTTTCATTCTTATCACATCATCCCCTTTTTTTTTCCCCTTTTTTTGGTTTTGCCCCTTTTTATTCTAAAACACTATCGCATCGTACTTACTGCTCCACATTTGCACTGTATAGTAAGAAGATCATACGACTATTGAGAGATAGACTATGTTGGTAGGATTAGATTTTATAGTTATGTTGGATTCAAATACGCATTTGTAAATAATTTGCAAGAATTGCTTGTACATTTTCGTAGTTACATTCCAACTGATAAGTTATTAAGGTTCATTTTCGTCCAATTGTTTCATAGTTTTGGGGATTGCACAGTTTCACATGGTGCATTCGCATCACCAACTCCGTCGAAATAACTGATCGACTTGTGCAAATATGACTACCGGACACCGCGCCTTGCGCGGTGCTCCGTACCTAGTATATATATATATATAGAAGATTTGAATTGAATTTGACGGGAAAGTGCACCTGAGAAGAGAGAGAATTGCGATCAATCCAGAGATCTTTCAAAACGAATTGCGCAATTGCTCCCGAAGTAGAGATAAACCCTAGGCTAGACCACAATAACCGCGTTCGAATCATTTTTTTTTTTGATTAATGGTTTTTAGGTTTCTTCTCTGGTTTTTGGAGGATTGATTGTTGCAGAAGGAGAATACAGAAGGTTGTGTGTTTGGTTGCAGGAGGAAATGTGACCAAGTGTGAGAATACTCGTAAACCTAATTTTGGGGTTCACAAAGTTTCAATTGGCAATTTGGTACTTTTTTTTTTAAATAAAAAAGGATAAATTACACAGGCATCCCTAAGGTTTGTTAAAATAACTTTAAGATTCCTGTGGTATTGATAATTCACCTCTGAAGCAATGTATCGCGATATTTAAAGAAAAAATTTATGCTCTCGGTGATCGTATCTTCTTGTATATAAATAGATCTGAAGTTCAAAAAAGATTTTTTTTTTAATCTTATGACTTATATTCAAGGGTGGAAATCGGAATGAAATTTTTGAATTCCACAATTCCAATAAAAAAATATCCGAATTTGGAACCGTATTTTTTTCATCCGATTTCCATTCTTCCAAATTTATTTCCAACGGAATTGGAATGGTAAATAAAATTAACGCAAATTCCGATTTTCATTCCAATTTTAGTTCCGGATATTTCTATGGTTTTTCAGAATATATAATATGATTTTATGATATATATATGTTTTGTTATTCCACAATATAACTTATGTTATATTTTATATAAAAAAATAGAAACATCGAATGGTCAAGTAAATTAAAACATTAGAAAAAAATTATTGGTATCAGAAACTTTATGTTGCAATTTATCGTATAAGAAAGTCTATGTGTTCAATTTGTTGTTCCTACATGTGTTTTTATGTTTACGTTTTGTCGAACTTTCCATTGGATTTTCTTACATTTTCCTGCAAAATTTCACAAAAGATATAAAAATAGGCGGCGGTTATATGCAAGCCCATTTTTTTATTAATTCAAGACCTGCAACATAAAAATACTAATTTACCCTTAATGAAATTTAAAATCAAATAAAGAACACAAAACATTAAAAAATAAAAAATAAACATTTCCTTTGTGCAAGACCAAATAAAATACATAAATCCAGAAACCCATCTTCCTTATTTCACGACTTAAAACTTTCCTCCTTCTTCCCCTTCTTCTTCACAAACCCACCAAGAAATCCTACACACCAAAATTATCAAATACATACCAAACATTTACGATGGAACCAAAAAACAATGATATGGTGGTTTATGAGGGTGGAGAACACAATGAAATATGTTTTAACCGTTTATTTTTGCTTTTGGGTCGTTTTTTTTGTTGCCAAAAAAATTCGATGATACCAAAAATCGGTCTGCAAATACCAATTTTTGTTACTAAAGTTGGTAACCACATTCCGATTATTTTAATAAAAATCGGTACTTAAATACCGATTTTTGTAGTAAAAATCGGCATGACAACACCGATTTGTTTTTGTATTATCGGTATTATCAAGCCGACTTGAACTACAAAATTCGGTTTTTAAATACCGATTTTATTATCTGTGTTTTTTTAAGACCGGTTTCTCATACTTTCGTGCATCAACCTAGGGGATTGATGGAGGATTATTCAAATGAATTATCTAACGAATAAATATTTGAGATACGGAAAACTCTACTCGATTGGATTAAAGGAGTGGTAGACGCCACCGAATGGTGATAAACATTTTCGTTTCAAATATTTAAAAAATATCAATTAACCAAATATATAATGTATTATTTAAAAAATAATTCAAAAAATATCGGTATTCGAAAACCGATTTTGTACTCAATAATCGACATTATAACGCCGATTTTGACTTTTAAAGTCGACGTCGTGTCGCCGATTTGGTTCACAAAAATCGGTATTATGACGCCGATTTTTGTGTACAAAATCGGTCTGGATAAACCGATTTGGGAAACCAACGAAAAAAAATAAAAAAACCAATTTCAATCTCAATGTTTTTTCCAAAATCGGCCAAATCATTGTAACCCAACAAGAAATAAGCATAGATTAATGTTCATTCATACATATTTAGCATAAATTAATATTTAGCAGTCGTGATATTTCTTTTTTGTTTTGTTTTTTTTTTTTTTGATTTTTGGTCTTGAACAAATTAAAAATAAGATTTATATGTATTTGAGTATTATTTGTGGATAAGGGTATATTTGTCATCTTTGGTCCTAATGTAATAAAATTAGATTAATTTACGGGTTTGAACTAATAAACTTCTTTATGTGGTTATTGTGAAATCTTTCGTTATATCCAAATTTAAAACAAGAGATCATAAACTAACCTAATTTCTTAAATTTCCGAAATTGTAATGAATTTTTGCATTCCAATTTTCTTGAAAATGAAATCGGAACCCATCTTTTACTTTCGAAAAAATTTGAATTCTTTTTAAAAAAGCCATATCCGATCCATTCCGTCCGATTTCCACCCCTAGTTTTAAAGAATCACCACCGTAATATAAAAAAATAAAAAAATAAATAATCATAGAAATTCGAAGAGGCGGTCATCTGATAACTTACAACGGTACTCAACAAAAATTTCCTAATTTAAAAAGAGAGAATTAAGGCAAGATTAAGGTAAGACAGAGATTCAAACTTATATTACATATCAGCAGTTATTAATTACACCACCCTTTCTTTTATAGCAAGTAATAATTTACTAATTAATTAAGGGATAATTAGCAATACCCCCCTCATCTAGGTAAATGAGTTAAGAAAAACCCCCCTTCCAAAAATAATTAGAGAAAACCCCCTTACCTAATATCCCACCCTTATTATTATTTAATAATTCCCAAACCACCCTTATTTCTTAACCTTTCTTCTTCTCCACCCCACTTCGCCCTTTCACCTCTTCTCTGCAACCTTGTTCTTTCTCTCTCTCTCTTCTCTCTCTCTCATCGAAAGACCCTTTCTTCTGAAAGTTCAATCCATTTAACCCATCAACTACTGCATCCACCCACTCAAAACACCCACATTTACATGCACTTTTTTTTATTCGGATTTCGATTTGTGTGTGTGTGTGTGAAATTCATTATTCCGATGCAACTTCTACGGCGATCACGCATCGTTTAGGTTTTCTACTCTCCGTTTTGGATTTGTGAATCCGGTGGAATCAACCGGCGGCAGTTTTCGCTGAAATCGATCGGTACCGTTTTGAAGAGTCGTTTGGTTGGCGGAAGACGGCGCTGAAATCGAAGATTTGACCGTTAATCGAAAGCTGATTGTGTGTGTGTGTGTTTTTTTTTTACTGTGTATGTAATCGTCCCAGGTGGGGAGTGTGTACTCGGTGACCGGTGGTAGTGACGGACGATTATAGGGATTGTGTACTCTGTTCATGAGTGATGGTAATAATGGTTGTGGCGGCGGTTTTGAGTGGAGGATTGCGATGGATCTGTTGGTGGCGTTGTTTTTTAGTGGAGGATTGCGATGGGTCTGCTAGCGGCGGCGGTTTTGGGTGGAAGATTGCGATGGGTTCGTTGAATTCGCGCAGAAAAATAAATTCGCGCAGGCAGGGCCTTAATCGACTACGTGTGTTTAATCGACTATGTCAATAGTCGATTAAGGCTTAATCGACTATGTTCGGTAGTCGATTAAGGTTTAACCGACTCCAGTTGTTAATTTTTTTTGATTTTTTTTTTTTGATTTTTTGTTTATTGATTTCAATGTATAAATCAATTATAATGTTTGTATATTTTTTTTGTTTATTGATTTCAATGATTTTTTGAAAAAACCAAAAAAAATTAAAAAAAAAATTAAAAAATTAAAGATTTTCCTTAATCGACTATGAAGCATAGTCGATTTAAGACTAATCGACTATGCTTCATAGTCGATTAAAAAAACGGAAAAAAAAAAAAAAAAATCGCTGGAGCGCGTGCCCAGCTGTGATGAGGTGGCGGGCGGGGGTAAAGCTGGGAAACACAATGGCTGAATTGGATCATGGGCTTTTCTCAAATGGTCTAAAATATTTTGGGCCTCCCTCAATTAAAAAAAGTAGTGAGGGGGTTTTCTCAAAGAGCCCCATTAATTAAATAGCGTACAAACTACAAATCACAACATCTTATAAATAGGGCTTCATCTGTAGGGTTTCTTTCATACTCTCTCCTTTTTCTCTCTTACAAGCAATTATATATTTTTCTTTAATGGCCCACCTTCGTAGATTCAACTTCGCCGGAGAATTCCAGCATGCCGCCGCCTTTCATCATCCCCCGCCACCGCCGCCGCCGCTGACATGGCCCATTCCTGGCCGTATTTTCCCCACCGCCCAGGGCTATGTTCTGATTCCGTATTCGCCGTACATCCCTCCGCAGCACTACTACTTGTCGTCCAACAATTACAACGCGGCGACGACGACGACGACGACGACGACGAGGTCAACATATCTTGTTCAAGAAGAAGACCAAACCCTGATTTTCAACGCAAGTAATATTCATCA